TTGTGACTGAGCCTCCCGGTCCCTAGGGCCATACCACAGGTAGCCAGCAGTTTCCACCTCCACCATGGCCTGCTTCCAGGGGCAGCAGGCATACTGTCACTTCTTCCCTCATGTCCCCACTTTGTTGGCCTGGGGGTCTGAGTGAAGTGGGTGCTCCTGCCCAAACCATGCCACCAGCCTGACACATGGTCCTCCTGTCCACACCACAGGCCTCACAGCCATGCTATAGGCAAGGCTCAGAGCCACGGGCAGGGGGTGTCTCTGCCCACTTAGCCCCCTTCACATCCAGCACCAGCAGTTGCCCTGTGGTACATCATTCTTTGGAGATTATTTTTAAGAGAGGCACTGTGTGGACAAGGGGCAGAAGCTGTAGGTTTTTGCCCTAGCTCTACCACTAACTTGCCCTGTGATCCCAGCCAGCCACTGGGTTTTTCTGGAATCCAGTTTTCTCATCTGTAATAGGAAGGGCTTCATCCAGGGGCCCCGAGGATTAGTTCCAGCTCCAGAGCTGAGAATGTTTTTCTCACTTCAGCTTCATGGACCCCCTCAGCCACTCCCACCCCAGCCTCCCCCTACAGCCAGTCTGTTTCCCTAATAAGGTCCCATTGTTGGCCTATGACTGTCTTCCCAGAGCCAAGGCTACAGACAAATGGCTCCAGGGAAATTCCTTATCTCTTATGAATTGCAAAAGACACATCTCGACACACTCACAAGCTTGTCAGGATTGACCCGAGGGAGCAGGGACCGCGGGCAACATCTGGCTTCCAGTTTGGTCTTCACTGCTCCTGTGCTTTCCCTGTACAGACCAGAGTAATTTTTTAAAAGATGGTTTTGCTTCATAAAAGGATTTGACCACCTGAATATCTAGATACAGTCTTCCTCAAAATTTTTACAAAGTTGTGAACTCTTTGCAAAAGTCCTATTGTGAATTAACCAGACCTTCCTGAGTAACACACTGTTGTCCTCAGTGGGGCCTTCACCTCCTGGGGCCCTCCAAACTTTGTGCCCTGAGCAGTTTACCTGTTCACATGGTTACCCCTTTCCTGACCTGGGTCTCAGAATCTTTCAGCTGAAAATGACCAAGGAAGGAGACTGGGGTTGAGCACCCCAGTCCTGAGCACCCCCTACTCCAAGGAAAAAAAGAGCACATAGGATTATCAGTGCTGAGCACCCCCTACTCCAGGGAAAAAAAGAGCACATAGGATTATCATACTAGCTACGAAAGACACTAGCCCCAATAATTGCTAAGGAAAGCCTCCAGGAGAGAGGGGGTGGGTAGGAGGAATGAAGGATCATAATAGACCCAATACTTACAGACACTACCTCACATCAAAATGCCTCAAACCACCTACAAAGTAGGTACTGGCATCACGTTTCTAAACCAAGAGTCAGGAAGGTTCAGGGACTTGCTAAAGATTCTCCCCCTTCCCCTAAATCAGTGGTTCTCAACCTTCCTAATGCTGCAACCCTTTAATACAGTTCTTCATGTTGTAGTGACCCCCAACCATAAAATTATTTTCGTTGCTACTTCATAACTATAATTTTGCTACTGTTATGAAATCTGATATGCAGGATGTATTTAGGCAACCCCTGTGAAAGGGTCATTCAATCCCCAAAGGGGTCATGACCCAAAGGTTGAGAACCACTGCCCTCACAGGAGGCCCCTCCTGTCCATCTAGGAGGTCTCCTCACTAAATGGAGGTCAGGACTTTTACTCCAGGCCTGTCTGACCAATACCTAGGCTTTGTATATAGTTGCAAAGAATACAGTGGGAAGGGGTTCCCTGGTCCCTAAGGGAAGGGGGCTGGCTCTGCTCACAGAGCCTTGCAAAAGTCCCTATCTTCCCCTCCCCTACCCTAGCCCCTGTTGGTTCCTCCTCACCTCCCCAGGGAGTTGGCCAGCCTCCTTGGGAGCTAAGAAAGGACAGGACCCCCAAAGTCCCTTCCCCTTCTGCACTCCACCTTCATTCCACACTCATCTTACTCATCTGTGCCCCCCATCTCCAGCCCAGGGAGGAGGGAAGCCCAGCAAAGCCAGCTACCTTCATCTCCCACCCTGGTTCCTGGCTCTTTTTCCTCAGGTCTTGGCCTTCAGGATGGGGGACATAGGGTGTGTTTTAAATTGTCTCTACTTGAATAGTTGGGAACACAGAAGAAATCTTTGCGTACATTGGAAAACCCTTATTTTCCAAAGCCAAGCCATGATCAGGCCAGGTTGATTGCCCTGGCCATGTCACTGAATGGCCCTACCGAGGAATGTGAGCTAGCCATCCACAGAGGAAACAGAAGAAAGGTGGATTAAGCTGGGATTTAGCACTTGCAAATCCATCTTTATTTTCAGAGAACAGTTCCCTAAAGGAAGGAAAAAGGAATGGCAATAAAAGTGCAAGAAAAAACTGAATACAGGGGTCTCTAGCAGTAGAGACCCAGTCCGACAAGGGCTGAGGCTGGGTTAGAGGAGCCACATGTGGCTGCGAGAGTCTGGTGGGCTTCCCTGCCTGTGTCTGCTATGGCATCTTCTCTGAGACCCCGAGGCAAGGACTGGGAGGGCTCTGGCCTGTCACCAGGAGCAGCCTACGCCAGTCATCTTGCATCCTTGTTCCTAGAGGAAGAGCAGCCTAGGGGACTTGAGACCAGTGCTAGAGGTGGGTGAGCAAGGAAAAAAGGCTTTACATCAGCAGTTCTCAACCTGTGGATCACCACCCACAGGAACTGTATTAGGCATTAGGAAGGTTAAGAACCACTGGTCTAGATCCATGACCTGACTCCTGAGTTGTTTACCCAACTCAGGGTTGACCTGACTAGGTCCACAGAAGGACCCCAAACCCAGGCTCCTTGTCCCATCCTTGCCACTTGTGCCCTGCCTCACTTGCAGAAACTCCCAAGATGCAAATGTTGCCACAACCCTCCAGGGTGTTCTAAGGTTGAAAAAGATGAGCACTCTAAAGATGGGGTAACCTAGTAGCTGTGTGGCCTTGGGTAAATTACTTAACCTTTCTGAACATTGTTTTTCTCATTATAGATTGAAGGTGTTAGACTAGCTTAGTGATTTCCAAACATTCCGGCCACATTATTTATTTATTTTTGAGACAGAGTCTTAGTATATTGCCCTCAGTAGAGTGTTGTGGCATTATAGTTCACAGCAACCTCAAACTCTTGGGCTTAAGCAATTCTTTTTTTTTTTTTAATTCTTATTTTTTTTTTTTTTTGCAGTTTTTGGCCGGGGCTAGGTTTGAACCCGCAGCTCCGGCATATGGGGCCAGCACCCTACTCCTTTGAGCCACAAGCGCCGCCCCAGGCTTAAGCAATTCTTTTGCCTCAGCCTCCCAAGTAGTTGGAACATTGTGATAGACCACAATGCCTGGCTATTTTTTTATTGTAGTTGTCATTGTTGGTTGGCAGGTCCAGGCTGGATTCGAACCTGCCAGCTTTGGTTTATGTGGCTGGCACCCTAGCTGCTGAGCTACCAGCGCCAAGCCCCAGCCACATTACTTTAAATGAAATCTTAGTATGATCCTAAATTAGAATCTGTTTATTGAATAGTCCTAATTTGATGGGATACAGATATCTCCAGTGACCCTCCCCCTCCCTATTCCTTATTCCTCCATTATTCCTTTTTGCAACCCCAGGCAGACCCTGGTTGCTTTCAGCTGTAAGGTCTACCCAGTTGTTTCAGTTAAAGTGTCAATCTGATATCCAGTATGGTGCCCAGGGCCTCCCATCCCCCATCTTCTATTTCAAGACTTGACCCTTGGTCTAAAAGCCCACGGGGGCGGGGGGGGGGATACAGTCTGCTGTTTCCTGGCTCCTCCCCAGCACTCTTCTGAGAAGCAGGGGCAGGGAGGAGAAAAGGAAGAACAGTCTCTATGGCTTGGGTGGCTCTAGGCCCTCAGGAACCCAGCCACGGCCTGGTTGGGTTGCTTTCCCACCACAGGTTTCCAGCAGTCAGCCCTTTGGGACAGTATTCTGACCAGGTGGCTCAAGTGAGGCTGTCTTCATTGGTGCTCACTGGCACAGAGGCAACCCACTCCTTCTTGTCCCACTAGGCAGAGTGGGGCTTAGGTGGCTCCCAGCCCAGCTGTGTGTTAGAGCACATGGCATGCTTATTAACAAGCACCAACATGCTGACCCCCTCCACACAGGCTAACTCAGCATGTCGAGGTGGACCTAAGAATATTTTCCCAAGTGACTGCTGAGGTAATTGCAGAGCACAGCCACAGTTAGGAACCACGACCTGTGCAACAAATTCCCATCAAATGACAGGAAGAGGACCTGCTAGACCCACTGACAGCCAGGGAGCATTTGTGTTCTGCCTTTGTAAGGTGGTTTGGGGGTGATTGGGGGGCTGATGTCCTTAGTGTTAGGGATTTAGGCACAATTTGAGGATATCGGAAGAGTTCTTATTCATATCCTAGTACAAGTGGTTTTCAGACTCAAGCTTCATGTGAAATCCTGCCAGAGCCCTACTTTTCATGCAGTTGGAGTATCTGCATTGGACCTGCCCTTCCAGCCCTGCAATGCAACACTCACTCAGTCACCTTCAACTCATTCTAAGAACATGCTGCTACATTACATTTGGAGGGAGCTACCATGCTGCTCTCTGAAGGGAGAATGGGGGTGGTGCCTGTGGCTCAAAGGAGTAAGGTGCAGGCCCCATATACCAGAGGTGGCGGGTTCAAACCCAGCCCCAGCCAAAAACTGAAAAAAAAGGGAGAATGGGGTCAAAATGGACAGAGAGGCAGAGGCAGCATCTAGGGAAGCAGGTGGGTGCAGCAGGTGCAGAGCAGAGAGGAAGCAACCTCAAGTGGGGACTCATAATGTCCCAGTTGCTGAGAGTAGCTGTCCTTAGGCCTGAGCCCATAGCAGCAGGTTGTGGGAGAGCAAGGTGGGCCACCAGGTGCAGAGCCAAGAGGAAGCAGCCTCAGGTGGGGACTCCGTGATGTCCCAGTTGTGCTAAGAATAGCTGTCCCCAGGCCTGAGCCCCCCTGTGCTCCTAAGCAGGGGGAAGAAGAGGGGCAGTGGCCTCAGGATCTGCAGCCACCACCCCCACCAGGGCAGCACCAGGGCAGGCAGGAGGAGAAGTCCGGTGGGGACGAGAGGCTCGCCACAGAGCCCCTATTTAAGGTCCTGGACATGCCTCTGAGTGAGGGCGACGAGCCCACGACGCTGCCAGCCCAGCGGGACCACGGGCACAGCGTGCAGATGGAGGGCTACCTGGGCCGCAAGCATGACCTGGAGGGGCCCAACAAGAAGGCATCCAACAGGTGCGTGGGGGAGAGGCTGTTGGTGGCGGGAGTTTGTGCAAAGCCTTAGCAACATGAGTGTGTGTGAAGGGAGAGGATGCTCTCTGCCTCTGCCCTGTGAGACGTCCTGGGTACGCCTCTGGGCCAGCCTGGGGGCCAATTGGCATGTTGGGAAAAGCTCTTCAGGGCTAGTCCTGAGTTCAAATCCTATGGCTTCACACAAGTTACTCAACCCCTCTGTGTTAGCTTCCCCATGTGGAATTTGAGCCCTTTCCAGTACAGATACCGTAACTGGTGCAGAATAGGTGCTTGGTGAGCAGCAGCCGTTGTCCTGTTATCCCAGGGCTGGGTGAAAGGTAGGTAGGTCTTGGCATGAACACAGATCCTTGACCAGTCCCTATTTTTTAGTAGGCCTGGTTTCCTCGGTGGTAAGATGGGTGATGGTAAGGGGGCATGACCAAGAGGCCTCCAGGAGGTCCCTTCCAGGGCTGTTATTCAGTAACTGTGACCCTGAGGACCTGATTCAAAGGCTGTGTCCCATCCTTGGGTTTGGTCTAACTCTGCCCAGGGTCCCTGGGGTCTCTTCTTTCTAGCAACAGTAGAGTCCCAGAGACAGCTCCAAGAAGTTGAAGCTAGTAGTATTCCCAGGGACACTTGGGAGCACACAGAGCACGTTGGAGGGACTCACTAAAGCTCATCCAAATTCTGGAAATGAACAATTTGGCTGTCCAACTTCCCTGAAGACTTTACCACTTAAATAGTCCACTAGGACAGGGGAAACTAATATTTACTGAGCACTTACTATGTGCCAGGAACACCACCCTGTCGTATGGAGATTTCCATTTTCCAGAAAGGAACAGAGTCTCGGAGAAGTCATCTGTTCAGGCAGGATCTTACTACAAAGACCCAGCTCCATAGCACCGGCCCTCCCATTGGAGGAAAGATGCCTGGGCTGGGAGTCAGAAATCAGGGCTTTGTAAAAAGCTCTGCAGCCAGCTTTATATAGGTCAAGTTCCCTCTTTGACTTTCCGGTACTTCCTCCTTATGTGTATTAGTAGTTCTCCACTTTCCCACCCACAAGAGGGAGGGAGGAAGAGGAAAAGCTTAATGTTTTTCAAAGTTTGTTACTGTAAAAATAAAACGTGCTCCCCATTTGTCAGTGAAGGCGTTGAGGTTACCCTGCCACGAAGTTTGTGAGCTTAATGCTCTCACCAAATGTGCCAGTTGCGATGAGCCTCAATTCCCACAAATCTGCTCCTTTTTAAAAAGTATTAGTACAGGCTGAATGTGGTGGCTCACTCCTGTAACCCCAGCACTTTGGGAAGCAGAGGCAGGAAGATCGCTTGAGGCCAGGAGTTCAAAACCAGCCTGGGAAAAATAGTCAAAATTAAAAAAAAAAAAAAAAAAAAGCTGGGCACCAAAGTGGTTCATTTCTGTAATCCTAGCACTCTGAGAGCCAGGTGAATTGCATGAGCTCAGGAGTTCGAAACCAGCCTGAGCAAGAACAAGACCTCTACCTCTACTGAAATTAGAAAAACTAGCCAGGTTTTTTGGTGGGTGCTTGTAGTCCCAGATACTCAGGAGCCTGGGGCAAAAGAGGATCACTTGAGCTCAGGAATTTAAGGTTGCTGTGAACTTTGACACCAGGACACTCTACTCGGGGCAACTGAGTGAGACTGTCTCAAGAAAAAAAAAAAAAATTAGCCTGTAATCCTAGCTACTAGGAAGGCTGAGGCAGGAGGATCACCTAAGCCCAGGAGTTTGAGGCTGCAGTGAGCTATGATGATGTCACTACACTTCAACCTGGGCAGCACAGCTAGAGATCCTGTCCCTTAAAAATTAAAAGTGATAGTATGGTATAGTAGGCACACCTAAGCAAAACAAGACCCTGCTCAATTCACAGGTCTATAGGGGGAATCAAATACAATAAAGGGTGTAGAAATACTTGAAATATTCAGTTTATATTGTTGGTCTTGAACTCAATTCTACTTCTATGAATGTATTTCTATTTTGTTATTTTAATTTATTTATTTATTGGGACAGAGCCTCAAGCTATAGCCTTGTGCCTTGACATCATAGCTTACAGCAACCTCAAACTCCTGGGCTTAAGCGATTCTCTTGCCTCAGCCTCCCGAGTAGCTGGGAATAGCAGGCTCCAGCCACAACACCCAGCTATTTTTGTTGTTGTTGTAGTTGTCATTGTTGTTTGGCAGACCAGGGTCAGATTCAAACCAGCCAGTTCTGGTTGGCACCTTAACTGATTGAGCTACAGGTGCCACCCTATAAATGTATTTCTAATATGAAAATTAGAGGTGGCTCGGCACCTGTGGCTCAGGTGGCTAGGGTGCCAGCCACATACACCTAAGGTGGCAGGTTCGAATCCAGCCCAGGCCTAACAAACAACAATGATGGCTGCAACCAAAAAATAGCTGGGCGTTGTGGCGGGCGCCTGTGGTCCCAGCTACTCGGGAGGCTGAGGCAGGAGACTCGCTTGAGCCCAGGAGTTGGAGGTTGCTCTGAGCTATAGTGTCACGGCACTCTACCCAGGGGGACAGTTTGAGGCTCTGTCTCAAAAAAAAGAGAGAGAGAATTAAAGGCAAAAATTGGTGCATAAGAATGTTCATGACATTGTTAAACTGTGGATAAATTTTCCGGTATTGTCAGGTCCACCAATAAAGTAAATTGTATATATATGATGGGATGCCATATAGCTGTTCAAAATTATCTCAAGAAATATTTGAAGATCTGGAGAAATACACATGATATAGCATTAAGCTCAGAAGCAGGATATAAAATTGAATATATAGTATAATCTTATCTGTGTGGTTAGAAAAAAAGTGAATACATGAATAAAAACTAGAAGGAAAATAAAATATTAACAATTAGGTCATGAAATTAAAAAAAAATCATCTGTATGTAAACAAAATGTGTTACTATTTACCAGGGCAAAAGTATAATTATTTCAAAGATGAAGTTATGGGAACTGGTTATAGTGACACTGTGTCAGGACTGTGGGTTACCTGACTATCTGCACCTCTGCAGGTCATGGAACAACCTGTACTGTGTGTTGAGGAACAGTGAGCTGACCTTCTACAAGGATGCCAAGAACCTGGCCCTGGGGATGCCCTACCATGGGGAGGAACCCCTGCCCCTGAGACACGCCATCTGTGAGATTGCAGCCAACTACAAGAAGAAGAAGCACGTCTTCAAGCTGAGGTTAGGCCTTCTTGCCTACTGACCCTTCCTGGGCCTTACCCCTCAGGTTGATGCCTTGATGAGGCCTTAGTATGAGCCCAGACAGAGGCCCACTGCATGGTGGCCCACTGCATGATGCTCCAGATCAAAGGGGCTGATGGTCCAGACTTTTACTCCTCAGAGGTGCTGTGTTCCTTAGAGGGCTCTGGATACTAGGCGCAGGGGATTGTGAGATCAGAGCCAGCCCTCTGCCTGGACTCCCAGTGATGGCTACAATGACAGGAAACCTTTTGTCCTCCTAGGCTGAGTAATGGCAGCGAGTGGCTATTCCATGGCAAGGACGAGGTAAGTGGGGGGGCAGCCAAGCTCAGATGTGGCTGGCAAAGAGGCAGGTGGAGGAGCCCCCAGCTGCTTGCTCCCAAGGCTGGCTCAGCACAGACAGCCTCCGGGACCACGTCAGCTTGGGCACCACTTGGCCTGCCCTCCCGCCCACAGGAGGAGATGCTGTCCTGGCTACAGGGCATGAGCACCGCCATCAATGAGTCCCAGAGCATCCGTGTCAAGGCACAGAGCCTGCCCTTGCCCTCCCTGTCTGGCCCCGATGCCAGCCTCGGCAAGAAGGACAAGGAGAAGAGATTCAGTTTCTTCCCCAAAAAGAAGTAACACCTGGCAAGTGGGCACAGCGGAGTGTTGGGACATGTAGGGACCCTGGGCTTCCGCCAGTCCTGTCCCCCTGCCCGCTTGCCCTGGGCTGAGTCCCCAGCCGGGCTGTCGCTATACCTTGAGCCAGTTGGAGGCATCTGGGGGCAGGAAACGTTCTCTGAGGCAGTGCCCTCCTCCCCAAACCCTCCTCTCCCCTGCGCCCTAGAGAAGCTGGAGAAGGGGGACTGATGGGGTTCTTCAAATGCTGCCCATCCCCATAGCAAGTCTGGCTTGGGGGTCACCTCCCACCTAGTCACAGCCAGGGAAAGGGAAAAGGACACGAAGCTCCTGGCCTGCCCACTAGGGGAGTGAGAAGACAGACTTTGGGCCACAAGGGACTTTGGGGAAAAGACTGCATGCAGGGGCCTTGAGGCCACCAGCCTCCTCTGCCCTGGGCTTCTTCAGAACTGGGCCTCTCACCTCAGGGGCTACCTGGTCCCTTCCCTTGTCCTCCTCCCACCATAAAAGAGAGCCTCCGAGGTTGGTGGGTTCTGACTGAAGGTACCTTCTGCCACCTCCAGCACCCTTTGCTCCCACTGCAGGAGGCAGGTGAGGTGAGGATGGGCAAGCCACCCCTCCTCTAAACTGTCCACCTGGGTTAGAGGGTAGGGCTCAAGGCCCAGACTTGAGGAGTGACAGACAGGTCTCACACTGCCTAAGGCCCTGCCTTTCCATGCTGGGACCCTAGCAGCCAAACCAGCAATACCCAACCCAAGGAGACAGTGTAGACCCCTTGAGACTGGATGCATAGCCCAGCACCTGGACTCATGCATCCAGAACCAAACGCCCAAGTGTGTGCTATCTGCAGCTGGTACCATCCCAGAGTATTGACTGGACAGGCAGCAGAGTCAATCCCCTGTCACCTTGGGGTGGCAAATGTGGCCATGCCTAGGCATTACCACCCATTTGATGTAACTACCCCCAGGCAGCTGGCTTCTCCTGAAGGTCCTGGCTTTTAGGTCTGGGGGCGGGGGTCACACAAGTACAGATGTCAAACATCTACCACCTCCATCCCCAAGCACCAGAAGGGGCTTTGCTGCAATCTACATCTGGGGGATGGCCTTCCCCACCTTCTTCATGCTGCCAAGGTCAGGTTTCAGGGGACAATTTGTTCCACAGGCATTTCCCCCTCCATTCTGCTCTGAAAGCAACACAGCTCCAGCTGGGCATACTAACTGGGGTTTGGCTCAGAATCATAAGGCCTTCTTGGGGACACTTAGGGCTGACTGGTGCAGGCCCAGTTGAGAGATCCTTGCTGCTGCCCTGCAGCCCAGACGCTACATCAGGGTGACGCCAACTTCAGCAGACGGGGAGGGGCGGGGGGGAAGACTCAGCCCATGCAGCCTGATAACTTCATTTGACCCCACAGCCCTCTGCTTCTACAGGGAACCTATATTAGTTCACCAGCCTCTTTCTGCAACTGAGGAAACTAAGGCAGTGCAATGACCACACTCACTTAGCAATTAAGGAGGCCTTTGGTGGTTTGAGGGCGTGTCCTTCTCTGGGGCAGAGAGCAGGTTCCTTGCTAAAGGGCAGATGATGACAGGCACCTCCCTCAACTGTTTCCCTGGGCCAGTCTTTAGGGAGTTAAGGGACAAGGGTCCACCCCCAACCCGCAGCATGTGCCAAAGTAGCACTTAAGTAAGAAATTTCCAGCAAGCAACTTCACTGACCTAAGAAAGGACCCCAATGGAAGAGCTAGGATTCCACCACCCCAGGTCCCCCAGATGGGGCAAGGGCAGCCAGCTGCATGTGACCACCATCTATTGCCAGCCCCCCATGCATCCCTCCCATCTCACCTAGGCCCCAAGACATTCAATTAACTGGACTTTGGGAGACCCCATGCCACACCAGGCCTAAGCTCTCCTGCAGCCCTGGCCAGGTTTTTGTTTTTACTTGTTCTACTTTGCAGTCTTTGCCTTGATGGTACTCCCAAACTAGGCCGATACAGCTCCAGTCCACACCAGCATACAGGCTTCCTCCCCTGGGCAGTTCAGAGGAAGCTCCTTCTGGGCATGGCCAGGTGGTCCTCCTTCCCTTTCTCCTTCCCCTGTATCCCTGGGCCTCAGCTGATCAGGCTGAGGGAGGTATGGAGGTCCTTGGGCTCCCCCCACACATACACCTTCACTAGTGCCCACAAAGGGAGGCCTGTGGAAGGCTCAACTTCTCTTTACCACTCCTTCCTGCCTACTGGGGGCTACCAGGGTCCCTTAGGCTGGGCTTGGCTCCCCTTCCTCCCTCAGTGGAAGGGGGACAGAAATCCAGAGAAGAAAGAAGCCACAGGACCATGTGGCATGGTCCCTTGGACAAGCTAGCTCAGGGAGGACATGAGGAGCTGGCCGCAGGGGAATGCAACCCTGTTGGGCACAGACCATGCCATCTGGGCTGGCCCTGGGGCCGGCTGGGCCATGTCCTCCACCTGCTCAATCGTGCTTCCACCAACCAGAGGAAACCCATTTACTAATTTTTCTAATAAATCAATAATACTCCATACTTCTTTTGGTTTCTTATTTGACTAGCTTTGTTTCCCTTTGAACTAGGCTTGACAGGGCTAGCACCAGAGGGTCCAGCCAGATTCTGGTTTTGCCTGGAAGTCTTATGGGATGCTTCTGCTGCACTCAGGTCCTGTGCCTCACTAGAGATCCTGGGAAGGGCTTGCTCACTCGCACATTTGAGCACATTTAAGGCCTGCTGCAGGGCAAAATCATCTCAAAGCAAAGATCAGCCCAGGCCTCTCCCCACAAATCTCAAGACAGCAGAATCACCAGAACCTCTGTGCCTAGGCTCACCTCCACAGGGGCAGACCCACTTGATCTAGGGGATGGGACATAGGGATTGCCAGTTCACAAAAGCCTCTCTGGATTATTCTAATGAGAACCACTGCCCCGGCCCAACGTTCCCAGACATACAGAGATGGCTGGAGGACAGAGTTAGCTACAACTAAGAGTCCCCATCAGAGTTTGGGAAATCACAACTCATCCCTTCCAGTTTTTAGATAATGACAAAGTACAAGTGTGGGTGAGCTAGTTAACAGCAAGGCTAAAATGAGAGCCTGGGTTGACCCTCACACCCTGCAGTACACTGTGGCTACTCAGTGTCATGTCCTGAGATTCTCCTGGGAGGAGCCATTTCTCTTCTCAGTAACTGCAGAAATGACCACTGGAGATTCAGGGCAGGCAGCAGAATACAGCATCACTGGCCTGCACTGCGGTTGCTCAAAAAGGTGAGCACTCGCCTCTGATCTCCCTTGACCTTTTTAGACTCAGCAGGCCCATGTGGGGGTTGAGTCCATCTTCCTAGGTCAAAAGACACAGGGACCCTGACCCTGTAGACTGTGGGAATGCCTGTCAGACAGCGCTACCACCTGGGCCCTGCGGCCCCTCCTCCCAGGCCCCTGGACAAAACAAGGCTGCTCCTCCAAACCCAACTGAAACTGGGAGACATTCCTAGCTCTTTTGAATCAAAGATTTTTTTTTTTTTTTTTTAAGACAGAGCCTCAAGCTGTCCCCCTGGGTACAGTGCCATAGCATCACAGCTCACAGCAACCTCCAACTCCTGGGCTCAAGCGAGTCTCCGGCCTCTGCCTCCCAAGTAGCTGGGACCACAGGCGCCCGCCACAACACCCAGCTATTTTTTGGTTGCAGTCATCATTGTTTGGTGGGCCTGGGCTGGATTCGAACCTGCCACCTTAGGTGTATGTGGTTGGCGTCTTAGCCACTTAAGCCACAGACGCCAAGCCCCGAAGATGTTTTTGAGAACATAATAAAAACAAAGGACCCATCCCAAGTGCACTTGCACTCCTCACCCAATGTTGCAGGCCACTTTTGAAGATATTTCTAGGCTCTAAGCTTAGAATCCTTGCCTTCCAATATGTCTCCTGGGAACTGGAAGGGGAGGAGAGCAAAAGGCACCAGACATTGGGAAATCTGCTCACTAGAAAAGTGTTCCATTCACCTCCCATTTTCAGTGTAACTTTGGTCCTTGAAGAAAGAGCTAAAGACTTGCATGTGGGCCCCATCCCAACAGGACAACAGGCGATGGGTAGACAGAGAAGCCCATAGAAGATGGGGCAGACAGCAAACTCCCACCCTCAACATCCCGCCTCCCGGGCCGCACCCTGGTGCCTAATGCTTTGTGAGCCTGGATGATAAATGAATGTGGAAGGAACAAGCCCAGTGTCTCTGCCTCCATAAGACATCCCTGGCTCTTGGACAACCCTACCCATCCCCACCAGGCCCAGTAAGGAGGCCACACACAGTGGGCAGCAGTGTCAGCAGTGGTTATTGCACCATTGGCAAATAATGAAACGTGTGTACATTAGTGACAAGCAGAGAGTCAGCAAGACAACCCTCAGAGTACCTACTGAGTCCATTACATTTTTCATAGGAGGGGAATAAACAATGACAGAACACAAACATGTGCACACACCACAGAATGCAAAGCAATAAATTATTGGCTTCCTGCCAAGATGCTAAGGCAAGGCACAGTTAAAGAGCAGGACCCCCAGGCTACTCCTCAAGTTTCCCTGGGTAGGCTCCTTGGGCTGGCAGTGGCCTGAGCAGGACTGGCTCTCCCTGGGAAGAGGTGAGCTTAAATACCTGGCTGCTTAACCAGAGAAGAACTACTTACAAGGAAAGTGGCACATCAGCCTCAGAGGGGAAGAGTGGCTCCCCGGTCCTATACAAAGCTGTAACAAGCTCCAGGAAAGTACCACCACATTGCACAGGTAGCACATGAGTTTACCACCGCACATGGTAGAGCAGAAGGGGACAGCCTCCTTGCCTTCCCAGGGCCCTGGACACACCTCCTGTGGCCCAGGCTGGGCCAAGTACGCCCAGACTCTCCCTACCCACCAGCATGACTCTTCCTTCCCCCAGGAGTCAGAGTCAACCTATGGAGTTCAAGGCCTGGAATTTCTCTCTCAGGTTTCTCACTCTGCCCTGCTGGCTTGGGTCTGTAGGGTCCCTGGAGCCCTCTTCCTTTGGCCGACGCTCCACAGACACCTGGAAATCCAAGCCCTGCACTATGGGTGT